TATTTTATATCATTAGCCTCAAATTTTTGCTTAAAATTCCCAGTAATTCTTAAACATTCCTAAAAATTCCTGAAAATTCCCAGAAATTCCAAGGAATTTTTTAGATTTACAGCTTTTCAGGGAAAGTCATTGGTTCTCCGAGTTGGAATTCCTTGGAATTCCAAGTCCTGTTGGCTATAAACTTGGAATTTCTGGTAATTTCTAGGTTTTTAGAACCAGAGTTGTTATGGTAGTCCAAATTTACTGTGAAAATTCACGCCTTTATTTATTAGGAGTTTCCTAGGAATTCCAAAATCCATTTCACAAGGATGCTAGCTACCACAATTTTTATACTTAAGTCCTCTGTAGCAGGAAGTCTTTTCAAGAACTTGAGTGTACCTGAACCATTTTCACACAAAATGTAAGCTGGTTCAACAGATACATCTCAGCAATATCTTTGTTCTTTAAAAAAAAAAAAACTTGAGATTTTGCAATGGCAGTGAGTGTGTTATAATCTTGTCAATGTTCTCCAAAATACTTGCATTCTGTTGACCCTGAGAGGTAAATACATTTTTCTAATTAACAATAGTACCGGTAATTGCTTTTAGTGACCAAAGTTATTGATTGAGGATTAGAACAACAGCCACTCGGGTAAAAAAATAAAACAAAAAATTGTTCATGATTGAAAGAAGATCCACTGAATCTTTGACACAATAACTGTTTACTGGCTGTAATTCAATAATCTTGTGATCTTCGTTAGATCCTTATCCAAAGAAAAACAAATAAAGAACCCAGTACCTGAAAATGATACTACTTGAATGTTGTGCCTCTCAATAGCACTTTCCTGCCCTGGTTTGGTCTTTAATTACCACAATTCTCTCCCTCTCCTTCATACTGTCTGGTCCATAGTCAGACAAAACAGCATTGCAATCCTTGAGGTTTCCACAGTCATGGGCAAACATGCCAAGTGAAACTAGCAACTGCTCAGTGATCCTCAGCTCACAATTTCGCATAACAAAAAAATGAAGAAACGCCGCAGCTCAGTGCTAAAATCTTGACATACAAAAAGTCAGTCGAAAAACCGATTGGAATAGTTTGAACGATCTAGTAAAAGCTCCATTAACCAGTAGCGTTTACTATTACAACCATCTCCCACCCCTCCCTACGTAGTAATAGTCCGTCTCTCACCCCCTCCCTGAGTAATAACACTGCCTCCTACCCCTCCCTTAATACTTATGACTGCATCCCACCCCTCCTTGAGAACTAATGGTGTGCTTCACCCCTATAGAATGGTCTAAAAAATGGTCCAACTAGACCCTGTGAGCAGGGTAACTGGGATACCTGGATGGTGCTGGACCCTTGGAATCAAGTGTAGTGATACTACGGGTGTCGGACTAGTATACTGAAATAGTGCGCTCAAGTCTGGCCCAAGGGCATACACCTATTTCAAAACATAGGTATGCTATGCATGCAAGAGTTTTTTTTTTTTTTTATAGGGTGGGTGGATTACTTGAAACATTGTGAGTGATGTCTACATTCTTACAAAAGGAGAGAAGAATATTAATGCGGGAAAGAACGAAAATGTCGAATTACCTCACTCACAGGTATTTTGTGGTAGATTATGTGTGTTGCGCGAATAAATGTAACCAAAAATAAACTATTGGTGCCACGGATACCTGTTAGTACAAAATGCAGACTGCAGACCGGATACAAAATAAAGACTGCAGACTGCAGAGTGGGTTCAAAATGCAGACTGAGAATCTGAAGAGTTTTTACGTCTGGTATTTAATAACAGGTCATCTTACAGCTTACCGAGTGTCACGCAATCGCTTTTCTGCGATCAGTTTTCACGATTATTTGCACTATTGTGGAATATTCCTGGCCCATTTCTTGATGAAAATCGATCACAATATTATTTCAAGCCTTAAATATAGTCTTCTTACTTTGCGCGCGAGTTGGTTGGTGTGATGTCGGTACAGATTTTACCAACGTAATAAAAGTAGATGACGTGATTAACTGTGAGGGTAAAACAAGCTTAAAAAAGCAGAAATCGCCAGAAACTACAACGGATTTACAGGGTATGAGTAAGTTTTATTGATTTTACGAGAAAATGTTCATATTTCGAAATATGTATCGTTGTAAATCGACCATACTTCGTTCCCTATACTATTCCTTATAACGTGTTCAAATTTCCAACGGTTTCTCCCGTAACTTAGCACCAAGTCACACAACGCGTGACGCGTTCATGAATTAATCGTTGGCTTTTTCTCGAGACGTGAGCTTGGGCCGCCTGTGACAAGACAATTGCGTAAACAATACTTAACATAATAGCATTATACACGAAAAAACACAGGGTTTTGGATCACGTATTTATTGAAAAAGAATATCCATACAACTACAATGAAAACAAACATAAGATTCACCTTTCTGATCGTGAAATTATTACCATTTGTACTGCTATCGTAGCTACGTTCATTGCCAACAAGTGAATCCAACATGGCGTCTTTCTTCACAAGCAGTTTGCATCCATTGTAGTTATGTTCTTTAGTCTCACGGTAGTGGTGTTGTTCAATAGATTGCATAGAGTATATGCAGTTTGGTTTCAGATTTCAGATTTTGCTTTTTACAACAAGTGAACGTTTTTCAACTAAGACATTGGCATACTTGGCATAGAAGGCATTCAAGGCTTTCATGGTTTTCAAGCGTTCGCGACTCAATCCGTTCCAAAATTACCGCTCAATAACATCTTTTAGTGTGGATTAGCCGCGAATAATACGACTTGTATATGCGTCTGTAAGTTTTTTGAGCGTTTGCGCCATAATGCTCCAGGAGATCGCAATCCAAATACGTTGAAATACAAAACGGCTGACAAAAGAGTTTCATTCCTCAAGTGACCCGGCCCTGTCAGTGCATGACAACGTCAATCATCATCAAGTTAACACGCGTGATCAGCATGTGAACACCTCACTGGATCACAGTTAGTTGTCATGGTGTTGAGGGCCCAATGACCACTGGGTACTATTGCGCAATTTTTCCATTTTGTGGCGGAGGAAAAAAAAGACAAAAAACAAAGGCATTTTATGACTGGGCTACCACAGGTATCCCAGTAAAAAATAGTCCAGTCCATATTTTACTCTATGCCGGAAATGAGATATTGTACAAAATCAAGCAATTATTCAGCGATTATCAAAACCAGCTGTCAAGGCGATGATGGAAACTTAGCGATATTTGACGTCGCACCATAGCAACCAGCTTTTTCGAATATTTGAACTTCCGTTTACCTGAGGCTCGTGATGTAGTGAAAGTAAGCCTCGTTCTGATCCCTAATTCCGAGAGGATGGGCAAATTGGCTATGCACCCATGGCCAACTCACGCTGAACACCTACGGAACGCTCCTTTTGGATTGCTTAGTGTCATCTGTTAGAAGATAATTTTCCTGTTCTATTACTTTGGATTTAAAAGCCATAACATGGAGGAATAATTGGCATCACATCGAGGAAAGCGCGTGAAAATCGTCAGTGTAAGTGTTAATACTTTTCTCTCTAATGTGCAAGAGGCGGATTTTTTTCTTGCCTCCAAAGATTATGTTATTCATAAAGTGTAATTCTGGTGTTATTAGGGAGGACTTTCGCGATCTGTGTCAGAGTTTGAAGCTTTGTAATCCTTCGAAAACATCTTACTTTCGTTAAAGCTCGTTGCTTCTCGTACCGAAGTAAATCTGAAGTTTGTCACTGATCCTGAGCGAAATCAAAAAGAGGAAGTCATTAGATCGAAGAGTAAATGATCTATTAGAATGGAATATCTCGATCCTTTCTCATCACCTGGAAACTTCGATATGTGAGTGATGTTTATGTTATTCCGTTAGTATCATGACAGTACTAGAACAAGTTGTTGTGCATTTAATGAAATGTAAAAGCCCGATATCAGCGAAGAAATGATAATTACTGAACTATGAGTAAACTAGCGCGGCCGCAATTCGTGTTGGCAATCGTAGAGTTCACTTTGATTCCGAGTTTCTTGGTAATTTTTTATACCTTGATTAAATATTTGTATCATCGCCAACTGGTTTATCGTTATTATGTCTTTTGAAGTTTGCAAAGCAATCCTTTAGTAGGATAAATGCTAGGAATAGTGATTCAATTCTATCCGTACTTCGTCGGTTGCATAGCTTCAGTCCAAGCATACCGATGCTGTATAGCTTGTGACGAATTTTATTTGAACAACATTTTTGGACATAGTAAGGGGAAATTAAATACTTAAAAGGCAAAACTGTGTTGCTGAAATAAAGGTAACTTTCTGTCCGCACCACTGATTACACTTGTGGTTTGGAAATTTTTTCTCTAACATGCGCTAATATGTAAATGTTTTGACGCCGAAAACATCGACTTCTCATTGGACGATTCACATAGCCTCAGGTGCACATCCTGTCACGCTTCACATTTTCATACATTTTCAACGACTCACGACTTAGAGACAACATTCGTTGAAGAATACGAGTCATCTATTAAGGAAGAAAAGAAACAAGAAGTAAGAAAAAAGTACGCATGACGTCGAAGGACTTGAACCAGACTGCATTTTATTCATGGCAAAGCGAACCTAATAGCGTGCAGAGTTAACAGCAAACTCACTTCGTTAAGTAAATATTTCATCTTCCATCAGTTCAGTGAAGAGGTTTAATTTTAATTCCAAGCAGATGGTGGCCATTTTTTTCATTCATTCATCAATTCATTTATTCATTCGTTAGTTTGTTCATTCAATCAATCCTTCAATAACTAATGTATCAATTCATTCATTCATTCAGTTTTATTTAATCTTTAATCGTTTCTTTGTAAGTTAATTCTTTCTTTCAATCGCTCAACTCTTCAGACATGTTTCGTGTGGTCAAATACCATATGTATGCCAAAGAACATGTGGGAATTATTTCCCTGTATGTATGAATCAAGTTTCATGATGCACATAACCTTCGTCAGTATTTTCCACATCTACCACAAAGGTTCACCGACTTTGATAAGTCTTGTATCAGAGAATGGACATGAAAGACTGAGCGCGACCTTGGTGTAATTTGAACCACAATTAAAACCGTTTGCTTATCCGTTTGGTACTTTCAGGGACATGTAATTTCAGTCAGCTGCTTGTGGATAAATAAAATGGCCACCGCCCGCGACCCTGGTGATTTGCTTCGTTCAAATGACGGCAAAGCAAATTTCCAACGTTTGACTCGTCTGCTGATAACTGGAGGTACTGCACTACTGAGGGAACTTTTTGACATGTTTTGTCCTCCAAATGATCTTCCAAAGTGGCTGCAAAATCCTGCCATAATGAACCAGCTTAAAATAGCTAGGCTCACCAAACCACAAAGGGATTGCCTATACCCTTCCTCAGGGGTGTACGGAAAATCAGTAGAATTTGATGTAACTCTACTCTTCAGGCTACTGAGGACACTTTGTGGCCTGATCGAACCGGCTACAGGTTGGGATGCTCTACCAGTAACATCGGATTACAGTTTGGAGGCAGATTTAGCGAGAATTAAATACTATCGGAACTCTATCTATGGTCATGTTTCCCAGGACATGGAGATATCAGATGCAGCCGAGTTTTTATCCTTATGGAAAGAGATAAGTGAGGCCCTTGTAAGGATCGCGGGACACATCAGCCATGAGAAGAAAACGGAATGGCAGAAGGCGATTGATAAGTTTTCGACAGATCCCCTCACGGATGAGGATAGAAGAAATGTAGAGGAATTGCACACTTGGTATCGTAACGATATGGAAGTAAAGAAATCCCTAGAGAGACTAGAAGCCACAACTCAGGAAATGAAAGAACAGATGGGAGAGCTGCATCAGATTATAGATCGGAAGTTAGCCGTCTTTACCGAAAGCCCACGAAGGGGAGGTCAGTTGAGTTTTTCTTCGTTTGTTTCCAATATTACGGGATAAAGAAATCAACGTGCGCTTTATATTCAAGAAAAGAGTTTGGACAGGAAAAACACAGAAGGAATTGTCAAATTTTTGGAAATTTTTCCCAAAAGTTTTCCTGTTTTGTCGAGTTTCGTATCAAAAACTTGGACTTGTTTGTCTGAATGGAAAGAGCCTAATGTTCTAATGTTTGATGAAGGTTCAAAATGCAGCCCTTTGTTAATTGAGATTGTTTTAATGGTATGTCTCCCCATCGGAAGTTAGGGTGACCCGTTGATTACATCACAAAGCTATTAGTGTCGAGAGCATCTCTTACAGCAGTCAGGTACGAGTAAGCGGTAACTGAGACGCGTACTGCTTTTATTTTTCATCATCTTTTCTAAAATCGATAACTCTCTGAGTTAAATGTTTCAAAATCGTAGGTTTTCCTCAAGGTGGCTACAACTCAAGGCAAAGAGACAAGACAAGAGGAGGACCGCGATGGGTACACAGAGGCGGGTTTTTCCAGGGTTCAAAAAACACCCAAGTGTATAGAGGGGATCAATTTTATGGCCTTCAAGAACAGCGGTTTGCTTACCAAAGACGATATGGAAACCAAGGAGGACAAGGAGGTGGCTTTCGAGGGTGTCAATCAAAACCAAAATGGAAGCTAAAGGATTGGGAGCGAGGTGGGGAACGAGGTGAGTGATCGAGCTAAGGTTGTGTTTCAAGACGCAAAAGGTTTGTTACTCATTGGTCTCTAAAATATTGGTATAGTGTTATTATAAGTAACAAATATTGGTTGTCCCTAATTAAAACTTGAGCTGTATATTAGACTTAGAGAAGGACAAATTAGTGATTGATTGATCGATTGATTGTTTGTTTTTGTTTGTTTGATTGATTAATTAATTGATCTTCACAACCCCAACAACCCCATCGTCCTTAATTTGTGCGTCTCTCTCAAGTTAAAGTGTCATGAAGTGTTTTGAAACGACAAAATAACTTCCTCAAGGAAATTCCTGAACGCGTTAATTAGATGCTTTAATTAAGTGCCTTAATCGACAGATGTGGAAAGGGTGTCAACCAGACATGAAGTGAAACCTCACGAGTTTAAACAAACTCAGCTGTCAATTAAAGCTTGCCGAGTGTCTCTAGCAACTGCAACCGGGGCCAGTGAATCTCGAAAGAGTCAGAAACCTGATGCCAAAGCACAACAGCTGGTGGAAGAGAAAGTTCAAGTAGACGAGGAAAGCAAGCATTTGTTGAGGTCATCTGAATGGCTGAAGTTGTGTGACGAGATCAACTCAACGAATGTCCTTGTCCGGCGGAACAACTCGAACGACACATACGTAGCTGGGTTCCGTGATGACGTGACCGAAGTGATAAAGAAGTTAAATACCTTTCTTGAAAACAATTGCATTAGGGCGGAACGTTTTGTGTGCACGTCTGATATTATGCGAAGGTATCTTCTTGAGCCACGTCAAGAAGATCTACGCACCATAGAAAAACAATTAAAAGATTTTGTAGTGAGTATTAAAAAGGGAAAAGACGATGATGATTTTGTCATTTCTGGAAACAGAGAGGGTTTGTCACGTGTAAGAAAGAAGATCGACGCTCTGATAGATTCCACTGAGTTGAAAACCTTTAAGGTGAAACAGCCAGGCCTTCGAAAATACTTTGACAGTGGAAAAGGAGATCAGCTGGTAAAATCGGTAGAAAAAGATCAAGACTGTGCCATAAAAGTCCAGAAAAAATTTGGTCGAGGAGGAAGGGACGAGGTGTTGCGCGTCGAATCCGAATCCGACGCTTCTACTTCTTCAGGCGACAGTGACGATGATGCTGAGGATGACCACGCTATCACTACTGCAACTGACTCGTCTACCCTGGTAAGAGCCCAAAGGCACAGAGTGTCGTGGAAACCTGGAAACATAGAGAAAGAGAAGGTAGGATTGACACTGTTTTATTCACACCAGGAGAATATCTTATGAAAACACCTTAGAGGATCTTGTCGGCATATTTATGGATTTTAGTTTTTCACTTAGCTCTCATCTACTTGTAGAGTGTGGTTACATTATTTAACGTCTCTTTTATTAAGAGCACCAAGTCTGATAACGACAACAGTTCACCATGTTGAAAACGTTCATGAATCATTAACAATAATCTTTTGGGTGTGTATTTCAGGCTGACGTACTTGTCAGTTCTTTAGGAGCATGCGATAAAGCAATCATGAATGCCGGTGGTCCTCAGGCCGCAACCCCCAACGTTGGTGACATCACTGTCTCAGGTGGTTTTTCCTCGGTCAGTCACGTGATTCACACGAACTGTTGTAAGTGGAACAACGGTGGAGGGGAGCCGGTAAGAAACAGTGAATTGTACGTAGATAATTAAGTATTAGCTCACTTTTGAAGGAAAGGACCTCTCGAAGAGTATTTATTGTTTAGATTTGATGAAAACCTAAACGATATCGGATGTCGAACTGGCGAAGCCCATCCATTCTCTTGTAGGATAAAGCGACTGAAGACTCTTCAGGCTCGATTTAATGTTATTTTCAATGTAGGTTATAGTCAAACATTCTTTCATGTTTATCAGGCCGAAGCAATCTAAGGCGGAAAGCCTCACTCCTCACCGAATTCTTCGAGAATGACCAATCGAATATATAACGACAGGATTATTGCATACAGTAACTTTCAATTTCTAATATCATACGAAAATCCTAATTAGAAATTTTGTAGAATTAGTGAGAGCAAAGATCTTAGGAGGAAAAACAAATGGAGATGTGAAATTTTTACCACTAAAATATAATTAATTAGGCCCAATTCCAAAGGTAGTTTCCGTGAGGTTGTAATCCAAACATCCTCGATCCTGATACCCAAAGGAAATACTACTTGTGTGAACATCCTAAATGGCACCCTCTGATTTTCCTCTGGAAAATGTTAGTAAAATTCAAGGCTTAGATAACTTTGATCCCTCGAGCTCAAAAAATTGATCGAAAGGGATTCATCTTTTTTAACTTTTCACTTTAAGGAGACCCCGTCAGTTTTTTCTCCTCTCGTTATCAATGCATTATCAACCAGAAAGGTGACGGAATAAAGGAAAATATGTCAACTAGGGGATATTGCATGGCTTAACGCCAAATTGTGACTGCCAAATTCATAAGAAATGTACAGGAGACAGTGTGGAGAATTGCTATTGAGATCACAAAGCAATGAATGGATTTATTAAATTACCTCTTGCCACCACATCATCCGTGCCACTAACATTCAACAACTTCTATTTCATATTTTGTAGACGCTGAGGACCATCGTTCAAAAGTGCCTGCAAACAGGTGAAACGCTTCGAGCGAACTCCATTGCATTACCTGTCATTGGGACTGGAAACCTACAATTCCCACGCGATACAGCCTCGAGAATCATGTTGGAAGAAACGGTCAATTTCTGCCGAGCCAACCCCGCTTCTAATTTAAGGGACATCCGATTTGTCGTGTTTAACCAAGATCAAGCATTAATTTCCGCCTTCAAAAATGAGATGGACAAACATATTGGCCACCCTGCTATCACGCCTTTAACTAGTGGAATGCGTTCCTTACTTGAAAAGAAGAAAACGATGGGGACATCGGATGTTAGCATTGAAGTCTTGAAGGGCGACGTGTACCAGGAAACTACAGACGCCATTGTGAATATAATAACTAAAGACCTGAACATGGACAGTGCTGGAAAGTTGAGCCAGACAGTGAAACAGCTAGCCGGGCCACAGGTAGAGACTGAGTTGAATCAGCTCGGACAACAATCGGGTGGAACCGCATTGATCACCAGCGGTGGAAATCTACTTGCACAGAAAATTATTCACTTAATTCCAGACAACAGCGGAAAAGACCACCTCCAGCAGTGTGTAGAAAGATGTCTTTGGCTGGCAGAGACTCATGGTCTTCGATCCATTTCGATTCCCGCAGTTGGTACTGGTTCATTGCATGTTTCTGCAGTGGACTCAGCCAGTCTGATATTTAACGCCCTGAAAAACTTTAGTGGAAGCTTCCGTAGTGTCCGCAAGGTCAGAATTGTAATCTTCGAGTCTCCAATGTTGTCGGCATTTCAGCAAGAACATCAGAGGTACTCGTTTTCTCCACAAGTAGGCGTGCCTCAGCACATGACCTTAACCAGCCCTTTCGGTGTCGAAGTGATAAATGGCGATTTGACTCAAGAGAACAGCACTGACGCTATCATGAATATCATCAGCACGGATATGAACATGAATAACGCCGGAGACCTAAGCAAAGCCATAGCAAGACAGAGTGGTCCACTGGTGCAACAAGAATGCAACCAATTGGGAAAGCAGCTTCCTGGAACAGCGATAATTACCAGCGGAGGTAATTTACAAGTAGCTCATATTGTTCACATAATTCCAGGTTCCTCAGATAAGCAGCATCTCCAGCAATGTTTGGAGGAGGGTCTTCGTGTAGCGGACGCCAATAACTTTCAAGCGATCTCAATTCCGTGTGTTGGCACAGGAGGATACGGCTTGACCGGAGCGGACTCAGCCCAGCTGACGTTCAAAGCACTAAATGCATTCAGTGCCCGCTGTAAAAATATTCAAAAAGTAAGAGTGGTTGTGTTCCAGGCCTCCATGATGCAGGAGTTTCTACAAGAGCAGAAGAAACAACCAGTGCAAGACATTGAAGGAGAAGGTGACTCAGAGAATGCAGCAATAAGGCAAACCAGAAGACGCGGACGTAGGCAGGCACCAGGCCAAAGTAATGAACATTCTGTAAGAATTTCTGTGATTGGCAAAGACAAGGTGAGCATAGGAAAAGCCGTGGAATCTTTGAAGAAAGGTTTCTCTGACGCTTGTACAATGGAAAAAGTGGAAACTGACGTCGTCAGTCAGCTTTTCGATAAGCAGAAGGATATCTTGAGAAAAAAAGCTAAAGACCGTGACGTCAAACTTGAAATTGAGGATGACGTGGATCGCATTGTCGTTCGTGGTGGACCAACCGAAGTAGCTGATGAAGGTTAGTTGGTAGACATCTCTTTTGAAGAGGATGTTTCGATAAGGTTTAAGAAAAGACTGAGAGCTATTTCATGTCTCAGAGAATGTTTAAGGTAATAAATTTGTGATACAGATAGGAGATATTCAGAAAAGCTGTCCTAAAATGTCTCTCCCAAGCTTTCCTGTTGATCTTGTATGTGTCTTACCTGAAAAATATACTTGGATCTTGAAATTTAACCTCAGTAGATGGGTTTTCACTTCAACATTCTAATCTTTTGGTCCTTTCGGTAGGGATTGCTCTACCAAAGCACTGGGCACCTATGCCCGGGCATGACTCTACTGTACATAAAGTAGAATTGCAGCCAGGCTCCCCTGAGTATCAAGATGTCGTACGTAAGTTTCAAGAAACAGCCGGTGCGTTTAATATTCAGAAGATTGAACGCGTACAGAATCCTCATCTGTATCAGTCTTACATGGTAAGAAAAAAGAAAATGGATAAAGATACGGGAGGAAATAGTGAAAGACAGCTGTTTCATGGGACTTATGCTAAAAACATCGACCATATCAACACACAAGGATTCGACAGAAGCTTCTGTGGGACTCGTGGTAAGTCACTGAAATTTTAAATAGAGGAAACGTTTTATCATCTCGTCACCGAGTGGGATTAAGGAAAAATTTCAAGTACTTATGAGAAATCGAACCTCAGGCTTTCAGATTTCCTCGCTCCAACGCTCTACCATCGAGCTACAGACTCTATGATGAGTAGAGTTTTCAAGTGGTTAATATGTGGCACGCCTTCCACGTACTGCTAGGATCATTAATTTCGAAAGCTTCGTGTGAGAAAAAGGAGCATTGAAGCAGTATTTTCAAGCGATTGGTCCTAAGTAGTTAACCCTTTACACCCTAACATCAGTATGCCCATTCTCCACTCCGTTCTTGAAACATTTCCTAAGGTGCTGAAACAAAGAATTTGTTTGCTAATCAAAAGGTTCCTTCACAGGTGACCATTTCCTTTATTCTCATGACCTTAATGTGTGATTTAGGCTTGTTATTGTGGAGTTTAAAAGGTTAAAGCGTTTTTTTTTGGCTTTTAACTTTTATTTGTCTACCTGTCCCACCAAATCACTCTTTGGAGTCAAATATGGTAATAAAAGCTGTAATAATATAAGGAGAGTACAACTGCCTCTTTCATAACAAATAACTTCACCGCATGTATGATTTTGTCGATCCTTTTTTTCTAAATTGAGCTTTTTTTTCAGGCACGGCCTATGGACGTGGTGTTTATTTCGCTAGAGACGCTCAATACTCTGTTGCATGCGCTGGGGGTGGTGGAGGGCGCCAAATGTACTTTGCCAAGGTCCTCGTGGGGCAGTATTGTGTTGGAGATCCTTCAATGATCGTGCCTCCACCAAAAAATCCATCGAAACCTGAAATTCTTTACGATTCCGTGGTTGATAACCAATCAAGCCCCAGCATCTTTGTTGTTTTCTTTGATAATCAGTGTTACCCTGAATACCTTATAACATTTTGAAGACCACAAGGACCTTTTTCTCAGAAAACGGCAGAGTTGAAATGCTTTATAGTTAAACTTAGTTTATTAGATATATAAACTGCACGAAATCGTTCTCCTTCACAGTGTAGGGAACATCATATATATGTTGGTAATAGTTTCTCGATAGCATTCTTTATCGTCTTTACTCAAAGCTCATTCTTTATCCTCTAAATTGAATGATCATGTCCTAGTGGTTAGAGAGTTATTATAATGATGCCAAACAAAGTAAAATCCAGCTTAACGAGTCTTATCACTACAGTCCAGGTACCACCAAGAGGCTAGTGGTAACAGCATCCATATCAATACACAACGATTCAACAGGTGCTTCTCTGGAGTTCATGGTGGGTCTGTTGCTGAAGCCGTCTTTTGTTAGATTGATAGTTTTCGGCTTAAAATTCCATCCACTTACGTCTCGGATACTTGGATTATTCTAACTATGGTTTAAATAGTCAAATAGCTATGGTTTCATGGTTTAGAATGCATCTTTTTTTTCTTCAGGCGTGGTCTATGGACGTGGTGTCTACTTTGCCAGAGGCGCTGCATACCCAATTTGTTACGCTTCGCGTGATGTTTCTGCAAGACGCCAAAAAAAAAAATTCGTGTCATTGGCACTTAAAAACCAAGATCTTTACTTTCATACTGAGTTTAAAAAGAAATGTCCTCGTTTCGGTTCGACAACATTGAACATATAGAAGAAATGTGAGGAACATTCTGCCTTTCAAGGCAGACTCGATAAAATTGACCCCTTACTCAGGTTAGGTTATAATTTCTGATACACAGATGAAACATTTTCTAAAATGGCTCTCATTGGGGCCATGACTTCATACTTCCCAGAATTAAAATTTAACGTTTTAAACGAGGTTTTATATATATATAAAAGTCTTTAGGGTTATTTTTTAATGTACTCCTTTTTCCCCCCCTCTCGTTTGTTTGGGACTCTAGTAACTATTTGACTGGCTGTTAATTTTCAGTAACATGTACGTTGTCTAATTCTTTAATGAAGACTTTCACTTACTTTTATGGTGTAGAAGATTCACCAGGTAGGGAATCTATTTGAGATATTAAAAAAACTGGTTCGCGCTAAGAGGGTAGTCAAAAGCATTGTGTGACTGCAACTGGTATTAAAATAAAGGAATAGCGAAAAACTGAGGCATTTGTTTTCCCTTTTTGACCACAAATAGCGCTTTTTACATCGAACGAGTGAAAGGGGGGTCTTTCCGCCGATTATTAGAGCAGGCTGACGAAGAATCCCTAATGAAATTTAGATCACAGCTACGGCCACCTTCAGTTGAGGACGGTTTTAATTTTATGCTCCTTACAAAAACTTAAATTCTGGGCAATCTATTTACCATATGCCTCACACTAAGATAGTTGTGACTTAGATAACGATTCCTGTCACGCTCAGTATGCTTTAAGACATTACGTGACATAGTGAAAGGAAGCCTCGCTTTGATGCCTGATTCTAAGAAGAAAGGCGGAAGTCTCGAGACGGACGAAGCCATGCTTTTGACACACGGTGAACACTTGAAAATTGCTTCTTTTGGATCGCTTGGTGTTCTAGACTAAACGATATTCCGCATTTTTGGTTGTTTTGAATTTAAAAGCCGTAACATGTAGGAAAAATTGGCACCACATCGAGGTAAGCATATCAAAGTCGCCGTTGTTAGTCTCGATAATTCAATAGATACACAGTGTTATTTCAGGTAAATTTTCCAATAGTTTCCTAATAATTATCGTTTCTAAATCACACAGCACGGATTTTATTTTTCCTTCGAAAATTCAGTTATTTATAAAATCTGATTTTGGTCTTATTTAGGGGAACTTTTTCGATATATATCGGAGTTCGAGGCTTTGTACTATTTTAAAAACATCCTCCTTGTTAGTCGAGTTTGTTGCATCTTGTTTTGAAATAGATCTGAAGTTTATAACTGACCCTGAGCTAAATAGTACTTCAAGGAAGTTTATTTTTCATGATCAGGCTATAAGGACCTCTAGATTGAAAATAAAATGATCCATTTGAATAAAATATCTCAACCGGTTCTTATCAATTGGAAATTTCTGTGTGAGAAATGTTTGTAATACCCCCTAAACATGTTTTCAAAAGTAAATTATGAAATTATATTATACTAGTTCTAGCCTACGGAATGAAATTGCAAAAGGCTGATCTTGGCGAGGATATGATATCCACTAGTCTTGGGGTAAACTAGCTAGCGCAGCTGTAATTCGTTCGTTGACAATCGTACACTTTACTTTGATTGTAGAGTTTCGTGATGTAGTATTTACGCCTTTGTATGGTTTTCATGTCATCGCCAACCGGTTTGTCACTTTATTTGTCATTTGAAATTCACAAAGCAAAGTCTTCTATTAGAACAAATACTGGGTGCAATATAGTATAGAGTGGAAAAGTGGAAAAAGTGCAGAATATAATGGTGTCAGAACCGAATGTAATGGTTTGAACCGGATGTAATGAGCTTTGCACCCTTATCATGAAAATAGCATTGAATATAAAGATAGAGGGACCGAGTAAAATGAAATAAATACTATATATAATCACGAGAAATAAGTACTGTAAGACAGTTCTGATGTTCCGTGAGATTGCGGCGAATTTTAATTGAACTACATTTCTGAACACATTTACGGAGGCGGCGTTTAAGAGAAGATTCAATAAAAAAGGAGCAAAAATCAGTGACTGATTTAAAGGATGCATTCTATCCGCACTACTGTTGTTCGAAACATGTTGCATTAAACCACGTGAAATATGCAAATTTTTTTCGGAGCCGAGAGCAACCCTGGCCTCCTCATTGGACGATTCACATAGCTTCGGGCGCAAATCCTGTCACGCTTCACGCAAGACATTAACAACGATCCATGACGTAGACACAAAAGTTGTTTTTTTGAAGAAAATGATTCGAAAAAATCAATAGAGAAAAATACACAGCGTAAACAAGTAGAACACATGACATTGGAGGTCTTAAACTAGACTGCTTTTTATTCATGTCAAAGTGAGCTCAATGGCGTGCAGAGTTCACGGCGAATTCACATCGATGAGTAAATTTTTTATCTGTTGCCGGTTCAGTTCAGAGATTTAAGTTTAGTTCCAAGCAAGTGGTGTCAATTTTTTTCTTTCATTTATCCATTCATTTATTCATTCGTTGGTTTGTTCATTCAATAAATTATTATTTCATTCATTCATTAGTTCATTGATTCATTCATTCAGTTTTCATACTTTCATACTTTCACGCGGTCTCTTACATCTTCAACCATCTCTACGTAAGTTAACTCTACGTTTCAGTCGCTCGCCTCTACACATTTGTTTCGTGTAGTCAAATACCATATGTATGCCAAAGGAAATATGGGGCTTATTTCCCAATATGTTTGTATCAAGTTTCTTGATGCACATAACCGTCATCAGTATTTTCTGTATCTAGCACAAGAGGTTAATTGACTTTGACAAGTCTTGTATCAAAGACTGAGCGCGACCTTGGTGTACTTTGAACCACAATTAAAACCGTTTTTTGATCCGTTTGTTACTTTCAGGGACATGTAATTTTAGTCAGCTGCCTGTGGATAAATAAAATGGCCACCGCCCGCGACCCTAATGATTTGCTTCGTTCGAATGCCGACAAAGAAAATTTCCAACGCTTGACTCGTCTGCTGATAACTGGAGGTACTACACTGCTGAGGGAAATTTTTGACATGTTTTGTTCTCCAAATGATCTTCCAAAGTTGCTGCAAGATTCTACGACAAAAAATAAGCTTAAAGCAGCAAAGCTCTCCAAACCACTGTGGGACTGCCTGTACCCTTCCCCAGAAGTTTATGGCAAGTCACAAGACTTTGATGTTACTCTACTCTTCAGACTACTCAGAACACTCTTCACACTTATCCCACCTGCGACAGGCTGGGATGAACTTCCAGCAAGTGAAGATCACAGTTTGGAAGCAGATTTGGCGAGAATTAAATACTACCGGAACTCTATCTATGGTCATGCTTCGCAGAACATGGAGATGTCAGATGCAGAGTTTTCATCCTTATGGAATGAGATAAGTGAGGCTCTTGTCAGGATTGCGGGACACATCAGCCCTGAAAAGAAAACGGAATGGCAGAAGGCAATCAATAAATTTTTTACAGATCCCCTCACAGAAGAGGATAGAAGGAATGTGGAGGAATTGCTGACTTGGTATAGAAACGATATGGAGGTTAAGAAATCAATAGAGAAACTAGAAACTACAACTCAGGAAATGAAAGACCAGATGGATCAACTAGGAAAGCTGCAACAGAGAATGGATCGTAAACTAAGCGTCTTAACTGAAAGCTCACGAGAACAAGGAGGTTAGTTGAATTTCTTCCATTATTGCAGGAGAAATAAATCAATTTGCGCTCCATGTTCAAGAAACGATCCCGGACCGACCGGAAGGAGTTCTTATATTTTGAAAAGTTTTTCCTGACAGTTTTCCTATTTTTAGAAAGAGTCTAAAGCTAGATGGGCGATCGAAATACAGCTCTTTGTGGGGTGAGAGTGTTTTAATGGCCATTTAACTTCCCATCGGAAGTTATAGTGACTCGTTCATTGCATCACGAAGCTATTAAGTTGTTGTTGTGTTTATCTTAGGCTATAGCCCTGTTGTCTAACCATTTGGTTTAATTGCTGATTGGCGAGTAAATTGCAGTTGGTCCAGGTAAACAGCAAACAGTTGAGATGCTAGGGCATATTTTTCTGCATGACGAAAGTTAGGCGTACTTTAACTTGGGATCTTATAGAAAAGTTATTCAATATTTATCCTCAGCTCGACTTGCTTTGAGAATTGACTGCAGCATACCTGACCCACAAGTGAGAACCTCTGAGAGAGCAGCAACTTCGCAGGAAGAAGGAACAAGAGCCACTGTTACTAGGAGCCCTTCTTCTACCACTCAGGCAGGAGCCTCAGAGATAGCAGCAACTTCAGAGGAAGAAGGAGCAGGAGCCTCCGTTACCTGGAGCCCTTCCCCTATCACTCAAGCAGGAGCCGCTGAGATAGTCGCAACTTCGCAGGAAGAAGGAACAAGAGCCTCTGTTGCTAGGAGCCCTTCCCCTACTACTCTAGCAGGAGCCTCTGAGATTGCAGCATCTTCGCAGGAAGAAGGAACAAGAGCTTCTGCCGCCGGCAACTCCTCTCCTACCACTCAAGACGTTTTAAATCTCGCTGCGATAAAGTACCTGAATACAATTAACCCGTCTACACCAGAGGAACTAAATGGATTTGTACAGTATTTAAAAGAGGTGCGTCAAGTATTGATCGTGAACACAAAGCGTGGAAGTTTAATAATTATCGTGGAATGCACCTCCTTGGAAATACTTGATGGACTGTGGAACGACTATTGCTCAGGTCAACTGAACAAGATGGCACAAAAATACCTTGTTACAGAGGAACTTTTAAAAGACCTCGGTCTCTTGGATGTAAAGCTCACGGTAACTATTCTGGAAGATGAGTACAAAAGGTGTCGAGAGCATTTCTTACAGCAATCAGGTACGTGCAGTGACTGAGAAGCTTACTGCTTTAAGTTTTCATCATGTTTTCCAAAATTAAAAACTCTCTGAGTCACAGTGTTTCAAAATTTGTTTGTGCAGATGGTCGCTTTCTCCAAAAAAATTGTAAAAACAATGTGCATTTGATGTCCCTTTTGAGACGGTTTTCAGGTTATCTGAGCAAATAATGTGCAGATTTAAAATCTGTTTATCTAGGACAACTTAATCTTTCAATGACTGAATTAAGTTACTTCGACAATTGGCTGAATAGATCATTTCACTGATATCATATAGAAAGCAAAGACACTCGTCCTCATGAAAAGGTCCAAGAAACCACGGAAGAAAGCACAAGTACATCAGATAAGGATCGTCAACAAAATGAACAGTTCAGAGTTATACCTGAGCGAGAAACCTGGCATCAAGTTCCACCTCATGACCGGCATTTCAAACATAAAGCGGCTGGTGGTAAGAAAGGTCCACTGTTAAAAATGTTAAGAACACGCTAGCATCTACAACCGATTTTTTGTAGTTGGAGTGGTTAGATTTGGCTGAGCATATTAGATCTTAAAACCAGGCCATGGCTCTCTTTTCTTCTGCCCTTGTAAAAAGTTTCTAATTTAGTATGTGATTATATACCTGTATGTGTATCATGTCATGTTGAATTAATGAATTGCAACAGGAACCAGATTTTTACAAGCTGTTGTAGAACTGGATACATCCTGTAAAAGTGTTTGTTCAAATAAACGCGGGCTGTTGTGAAATAGGCTGTTTTACTTTGAACTTGTTTAGAGATGGCGCTTGGAAAGCCACCTAAACTTAAAATTAGATGTGGCTGAAACGATTTATATCTCCATTCCAGCAAAAACAGAACAGAGTAGGGGTCGAGGCGAGAAGACAACTCGTGGGACGCCTGGAGTGAGACCCTCTGCTGGGGGGACACGTTATTCGCAAAAGAAAGTGAATGAGGGAGCGGTGAGAGGACGTCATGACGATGGTCGTGGAAAGAGAGGAGACCAAGGACGAGGAAGAGGGCGAGGACGAGGACAAGGACGAGGCTTTGACAAAACACGAGGAGGACCACAACAAAGAGGAGGTACATAAGTGCTCCTCTTATGTCCAGAAATGCACGCAGTAACGAAAATCAGATGGCAAATGTGACGAAATTTCGTCAAACCGAATGAATGTTTATGGAATTGACGATTTTTACGAATTTTTGTCAAATTTGTTAAAGCGATATCAGCTTAGCGAATTTTCGACATTTTCGTTACTGCATGCATTTCAGGACATACCTCCATAAGCGGCATAAAATGGAATGAGTAACCAGCGAATGAATAAATAAATATATAAACAAGGAAATAGATATATTAAAATATAGCAATGGTATTTTTTGCTATTAGATCGTACTTTCGCCACTGTTTTCAGGTCGGATTGGAATTTGGATTGTGTATTTTTCGGATCAGGGTGAAAGCTTCGACTAAAACACATGTGACGCCGAATTAGGGTCGGTTACCTTCTGTAGATTTTCATTCTGGCGTGGAAATACCTATCGAGCGAAGATGTTCCTTGTGATAACAGGTTATTACTTTGTAAAATCCGCCGCAGAAAACTTTAGTACAAATTTGGCTGCTCCTTTAAGCCGCATGTCAAAATGTTCTTTTTAACTTCAAGAAGGACCAGTAGACGTGATTCACTGTTTTATATATGACCCTTCTGGTCCTCCCATTCAGTCAATAAGTACGTAATATTAGCTCCGTTTGCTTCATTAGCCGTTTGATTGCACAGTCAAAACAAAAAGTATCGAAAACTCCAAGTTTGATTGTTTTAACTTACCAAGAATATAGAAGCTTGATATATTGTCGTGGAGGTAATTTTTTGTTCCATTTCTTCCAGGGGGACATGGTCACCAAAGTGGAGCTGAGCCGCGTCAGCAATTTGATGCAGCTTCCCAAGGATTCAAACAGCCTAACATCAAGTACGAGTGGAACAAATTGTACGTATTGGGCTTACACTACAAAACAACACCAGACGCTGTGAAGAATTATATTGAAAGAATAAGCGGTTATAATGTGAAGTATGTCGAATGGTTTAAACCAAATGGAAAAGCTATTGTGACGTTAGACACCTTCAAAATTAAAGGTAAACACAAGAGGTATCAGAATATTTGAATATAGCAGAATTTTGTGGTTTGCAGGGTCCAACTTCAATCGATGAATCGTTGGTGCATACGATTGTATCAGCTTTCAAGTAATAGATGATCGATGTTCAAGTTCAATGGATTATTTGTTACTAAATAAATCATTTATTGGTTTCAGGTTTTGCAGACGTTCTCAAGGCCGCGAAAGAAAGACCCCTTGAACGGGTACAGGTGTTAATTGAAAGAGCCCCTGAGTGCAGGAGCATATTTGCAAGCGGATTTCCGGAAAAAACTACAAAGGATGAAGTATTAAAATTTTTTCATGAATGGGGGGAAATAGAAGATGTTTCATTCAGCGATCCATGGGACGAAAACGTGAAGGAAAAGAGAGTTATTGTGTACTTCAAACACAAGAAGAGTAAGTCATTTTATAAATGTGGCCTTCTTTAAGTAGTTTTGAAAGTTTTATCTGATGCACTACCTTTTCCACTCCATTTTGTCGTAAGAGTCGGCTCAAAATTTGTAATATATTTTCAACGAATTTATGTTGGACAAGTAGGTGACTAAATTAGATTCATAAATTGGGGAGGAAGGTTTTTCAATATTGCTAAAAATTATCATTTCCTAGGCTCCGCCAGGTGTTGAACGGAAAACCATTGAAAAATAGAATAGTATAAAAGAAAAAAGAAAAAAAAAAGTTCTAGTTGAAGTATAATGGTTTTTTGAAGCGTCATGCCTAGTCGACTGTATGCACACAAATAAAAATAAAAAACCTTCAACACCTGAGAATATTGGGCTAAGTGCTTGGAAGTATGCTATCGTGCAAATCAATCAATTCGGAGGTTGCAAGTTTTAGAGCTGGGCAGAGAACCCTTCAGTGTGATTATGCTTATCTCTCCCCTTCCCCCTCACTGCAGTGTGATTATGTCTGTCTCCCTCCCGCCATGCTTGACTCCCCCCTCCCCCTTTTGAATAACGTCCGGTCCCTGATGATTTCTTTTTTTCTACAGGTGTTTTGCAATCTATCAAGGACGATCACTTTTTTGATGATAAACCTCTGCATGTAGAGGCTTTTTACCCTTTCATGGGAACACTGACACCTGTTGATGAACCTTCAAAGTCAACACGTCCAACCTCAGGTGAAGTGGAAGGAGACAGACAGCCTCACTTCTACAAACCCGTGGACAAAGACATCATGGAATTTTTGATGAAGTCCAACCAAGAGTCCAGATTGAGGGAACGTCTTCACTCAAATGAACGTGCTGGTTTAGGGTGGAAAAATGGAGAAGAATATGCGCTGATCAAATATGACGGCACTGGCAAGAAACTTGACAGGGAATTTGAAGAGAAAGCTTGGAAAAGTCGCTGTTCTGAAATAGTCGATTCATTCATTTCTAGTTGCACCACGAAGGAATTTTCCGTGGACGAAGAGATCTGGGAAGCAGTGGCCGATCAGTTACCGCAGCTAGAAGGATTTCTGCCAAAGTTCACGGCGCATGTTAAGCTCTTGAAAAACTCGCATGCCGTTAAGTTAATTTGTCAAAAATCAAACATGTCAGATTTTGGGGAAAAACTTGAGGATCGACTTATGGTCATTCGACAGCAAGAAGACGAGAAAAAGCTGGAGAGGAGAACGCTGACTGATATAGCAACCGAGAAGCTGCTTCTCTTTCAAAATGCTCGGATTGAGGACGTTTTGAAGAAAGAATTTCTCCAAAATATCCAAGTTAAGATCAATCTGAGTAACAAAAACCTTGAAATCAAAACACCTAAGGGATACATGGCATCTGTCGTATCCTATCTTCGAAAGCGTCAAGACGAAATGGACCAAAACGCAATCGCTGTCCCCCCGGAAATTCTAAAGATACTTAAAACGAAGGTTGGACGAAGAAAGATGACTGAAGAATTGCCAGAAGGATGTGCTTTTAACGTTGACGACAGAAGTGAACAAGTTATTCTTCTTGGGAAAACTTTACCCGAAACCCAGCAAGGAAGAGTCAAGGCGAAGGAGGTACTAATAAGTAACCGTGAGGTCCGCTTAAGCGCCAGGGATAACGATCTGATATCTTCAACGAAGTGGGAAGAGTTGTGTAAGAAGTTGGTGAAGCGTCTTACGATCCGCCACAAACGTGAATTGGCTTGCATAGCCGTCTTTGGCTTCAAAAAAGACGTCACAGAAGCCGTAAAGAGAATGAGAGACTTTCTTAATGAAAAGAAAGCAACAGAAGGTGAAACAAGACTTACCACGCAAATTCATCGGAAATTCTTCAATGATTATTACAAAGACGAGCTGAAAAGAATCTCGGATGAACTTTGCCATTTTGGTGTCCAAATTGTCGTAGATGAAAGCGGAGAGAGAATAAAATATTCTGGCAATGTAGAAGGCGTGAAAGAAGCTGAGGAGAGGATATACATTCTGCTGGAAAACATCAAAGAAAGGAGTTTCCCAATTTCGCTACCTGGTATGCAAACTTTCTTGACTCAGGAAGAAGGAGTGCGTTTGATAGAAACTGTTGAAGTGGAGAACAAATGTATTATCAGAATAACGGACGAAGCCGCGGCACAAGAAGATGATGATGCCGACAGTGACGATGATGAACCATTGAGAGATGACGAGGAAAACGAAGAGGAGTTCGATGGCGTAGAAACCTTCTCTACCACAGAGGGGAAGAAGGTCACGTGGAAAATAGGAAACATCACAGAAGAACAGGTTTGTTTCAGGTCCTAGTTCTACAAATTTTTGCCTTGTGTTTACGGAAAGGCAAGATGTTACCCTGGCATATCACTTTTAGACAACCTTAATTTTGTTCATGCCAGTTCAATTATTCTGTTGCTTTTCATTATTCTTACTCATCCAGATCCAGATCCAGATGGCATGAACAAAATTAAGATTGTCAAAAAGTGATATGCCAGGGTAACATCTTGCCTTTCCGTAAACACAAGGCAAAAATTTAGCCTTAATTTTGTTCATGCCAGTTCAATTATTCTGTTGCTTTTCATTATTCTCTTATTCATCCAGATCACCCTAATGTGTCTAAAGGGTCTGCTGCCCGATGAGCGTAACATGATATCTCTGGGTTGAACTTGTGTGAATTTCTTGACGCCAATACATCATATCATTTTACTTACCTTTACTATAGGCCGATGTTTTAGTTTGCTCAGTTGGGTCAAAATTCAATCTTGCCATTGGTGCCATTGCAAATGCTATGAGTAAAGCTGCTGGACCAGAGTTACAAGAGCAGTTAAAAGAAAAGACGTCAGGAAAACAATTTGGTGAAGGCGACATCGTTCACACCGGCCCAGGAAACTTACATTGTCGTCATGTGATCCACTGTGTTTGCTGCCCATGGAAAGGAAATCTCAAAGAGGAGCAGGTTAGACTTATAATGCGGTGGGCTACGTTTATGTTATTTTGTGTGGCATTACCTTTATATCATTTTCCTAGACTTGAAATAACCAGGCGAAATGTCTTCAGATTCCTGTTTCCGGGAAAATTTGTATACCCTAGCAAAATTTGAGTGATGAATATTATTTATAATTATATACAATATACAACTCTGGCAGCTGTTTAAAACAGCTAGACTGATTAATCTTTAACATAACAGATAACAGTATAAAGCCTTGAGTTTACACAACCTGGTATTAAGGGATGGAGATATAAGAAGATACTCCATCCCCTTGAGGATTCGAGCCACGGCTTTCATGCTCCGATGCTCTACCGCTGAGCTACAGAGAACCAGTCTGTTTTTGTGGGAACCAGTCTGTTGTCGAGGGCATGGAAAAGGTTTTCTGCATACTGTTTGGATCAACAACATAGCCACTCAGTTTTTTTTAAAAGTTGTTTTTTAATGCTTTTTGGTATTTCTTTCACAGCTTCTTCAAGAGCTGTTTCGGAAATGCTTTGACAAAGCATCAGAACTTGGTGCATGTTCTATAAGCCTACCGCTTGTTGGGACTGGTAACCTTGGTTTCCCTTATGACACTGTTGTCCAGATTATGATCCAGGCAGCAGTTGACTACAGCCACTCAAATCCAGATTCACCCCTGGAGGAGGTTAAGTTTGTTGTGTTTGGCGGTGATGAGAAAGGCATTGAAACGATCATGGAAACATTTAGAGAGTTCAAAGGAGAACAGAGGCCCAGGCTCAAAACTCGAAAACCAGAAGTTCGCAAAAACAAGCCAACGCCTGTTCTTGCTGAATTTTATTCTAAAGAAGTCTGCGTTGAAGATATGATGTTAAAGGTCTTGAAAGGAGACATCACCAAGGAACGTTCCGATGCCATATGTAATATTGTTACTAAAGATCTGAACATGAAATTTGGAAATCTGAGTAGAGCCATCATACAGGCATGTGGTAGCACTGTAGAAAATGAGTTAAAGTCAAAAGCTCCTCAGCACCCAGCTGGATCCGTTGTGATTACATCTGCTGGGCGCTTGTCTGCAAAGCACATCGTACATATGGTTGTGGGACCTGTCACCAAGAAGAATCTTCAGACGTGCGTGGAGAAGGCACTGGAAGAAGTGGATTCTATGGACTTGAAATCAGTGTCCATTCCAGCGGTTGGCAGTGGAGGATTGGGTCAAACTGCGGATGAATCAGCAGAGTTGGTCTTTGGGGCAATCCGCGCATTTATGGCTAAACTAGAACGTTCAATTCAGGAGATTAGAGTCGTAGTTTTTGACGATTCTGTCACTGCAGCATTCGTGGCAGAGTTGGAAGCAATACAGCGAGAATATGTTGACTTGCCCCACTCTGACGACGAAGACGATGATCAAGGCTACTACGAAATGGGCTCAGAAGCGTCCATCGATGTATTAACAAGAAGACGGCCCCAGAAGATCGTCATTCATGCTCGGTCAGAGTCATTTGAGGCAATTATGACAGCCTTGAAAGACGGTGTAGAAAAAGCCTGCGGCAACCCTCGCGTCATCAGGCACGAAATTATAAGTCGTTTCCCCAAAAGGTGCATGCAGGAGCTGAAACGGATGTCTCGTGCTCGAGATGTAAGACTGGAGCAACCAGAACCGAACGTGTTAACATTGGAAGGACTTCCAAAAGATGTAATGGACGTCAACTCGGAGGTTTCGGATGTAATTCAAGAGCAGATGGAAAGAGAGCATAAAGAGGAGCGTGCAGAACAGATGTCTAAGACTGTGCAATGGTACTTAGTCAATCCAGGAGGAATATTTGCCGCTTTCGACAAAATGGCCAATAATGAAATAGAGTCAGCGTATAAAGAGAAGAAACCGTCACTTTTATTCACTCATCAGGATCTGAAGGCTGAAATCAACTTCGAGAACAAAGAGGTTACGTTCCTGAGAACTGGCGCCATCAAAACGGCACTTCGTAAAGATGGTAGGGGTTGTGATACGAGTCCATATGTAATGTCTCGTATTTTAGAGCAGGTTAAGTTTGTCACAAGAAGGCGGGTTTGAAAAGACCGAGAAAGAGTTAGATTAAGGGGTTTCACCCATGTACTTCTACTGTATTTTACAAACTTGGCTGATTAAGGAGTTTTACTTCTGCAAATCCAACCCAATTCTGTAGTTTCACAAGTTGTCATACGTTAAGCATCACTGATATTATTAACCCTTTAACTCCCATGATCTCGTTAATAATTCTCCTTACTGTCTGCCATACAATTCTTATCATGTCAATTTGGAGAATTTGGTATTCAATCAACTAATAATCCCCCAATTGATATTTTACTTTATTCTCATTACTTCTATGCTTGATGTTCTTTTGATATCGTAAGGAGAATTTCTGCCTTGGTAACTCTTGGGAGTTAAAGGGTTAAGGGTTTTTTTTGTTGCATTAACAGTGCTTCCTCTTCCTGATGAGTGGGATCCCCAACCTCGAGACAACCAAGGAAAAGAGGAGATCCTTTACATGGTCAGCCTCCCAGAGGACTCTCAAGAATATAAAGCGGTTGAAGAAAAATTTCTTCGGACGCTGGGTGGAAAAGTAATCATTTCAAAGATCGAGAGAATTCAAAATCCGTCTATGTTTAATTCGTACATGTTGCGAAAACAAAGCATGGATGAAAAGAATGGAACTATCGACAACGAGCTGGAACTCTTTCACGGAACGAAGCCAGAAAGCGTGAAGGAGATCAACGTTCAGGGATTTAATAGAAGTTTGTGTGGCGTTCATGGTATGTATAGACGTCTACAAATACTTGAAATGCTATAACCGGTCTTTGAGAGGAGAGTGTAATACATGGACCCTATTGTACGTGTTTTTTTTTTTTTGTAGTTTTTTTGCACCTCTGGCCAGTTTTTTCGAAGTACGTACGCATTTAAAAGGAGTATAAATCAGTATTTGGAATCTTTATTTTCCTTCCCTAATCTAACATGTACCTCCCAGTCATATGAATAACTCACTACTGCCTCGCCTAACCCGGCTATCGCGTCAGCTCCCTTCAGGCCATATGACTTGCACGTAAAGTAGTATTAGCGACTGTCATTCAGAATTATTCAGCTGCAGTTGTTTTACTTTCTAAGAAGAAACGACAACTTTGTTCCCCCCACACAGGTGCAGCGTATGGCGACGGTGTCTACTTTGCGAAAGATGCCTATTATTCTCTGTCGTATTCTCAACCAGGCCCAAATGATGAACGCTGCATGTATTTAGCGAGAGTATTGGTCGGAAAGTACACTGCTGGCAAGCAAAGACTGAAAAAGCCTCCCCCCAAAGATCCCAGTGCACCGGAAATCCTGTTCGACTCGGTGGTGAATAAGGAGGAAGATCCGACGATTTTCGTGGTTTTTAATGATTATCATGTTTACCCAAAATACTTAATTACCTTTGAGAAAACCAAAAAGTAGTCGAAATGTATTGATCAAGGAAATTGTTTCCTACTTGTTTCCAGAATGTAAAAGTAGGAAAACGTTTTTCCAAACTTTAAGTGAAAAGTGTGGTGTACTGCAATTCAACAGTAGTCGAATCGGTCAAGTAATAAAAGGCTTCGGTCATATTCAGCTGGATATCAACGAATCCGCGCACAAGAAGTACTAGTGCTATGGAAGGTTGAGGTTATTGTGTTCTTTCGAGGAGCTTTGAATGGTGTTGTAGCTTTTTATGAAACAAAATAAAACACCTGGGAGCTGGAAAACTGACTTGGCGTTGCATTTGGGAAGCTACGCTTAAATGTTCTTACCGTGAACTCCCACTGAATCCTATTGAACCTCTGAGTGTTAATCATCGCCACGTTTGCATGATTTTTTCCGTGAAAAAGATATTTCTCGTTGTCCTCCCCATAGTCTTTATCCATTTTCTCATTTCTTAGCAGGAACGTTCAGTACAGATGCGGATTCTGAATGCGCTCGGTGCTCAACATCCTTTAATGGATCGAAGGAATACTTGGGACACATCCCGGAATTTGAAATATGATTAGCACAGATTTGATGTGTTCTGTGACGTCATTTCGACTTGATTGTGAGGCATTGGTTCCCAGTTTGTCGGAAACGCTGTTGCAAAGGTACAAGCATTAGCAGAAGTGTAGGAATGGGATTGTCAACCAGTCAAAGAACAAGAATAAATTTGTGATAACCGCGTGGAAATAAATAAAGATAAAAAGTACAAAGAGCCTAGATGGTAAAAACAAATGGGCCTGTAGATTGTAAAATTCCTAAATTCTTAGTATCCCACAAAGAAAATGAGTTGCTTTGAACTGAAATTTTCATAGACAGATAAATATCCCTATGGCCACCCAGTGATTTTTCTAAAGGGTTTTTAATGACTTACCAAGCGATTTGACGCTCTAGTCGGCTCTACTAACTTTGAATTTTTCGTTCATACTTTGCCAAATTTTGCTGACAATCTCAGTCTCGCGTCTGCGAGACCTTTTCGAAGTTTCTCTTTTTACCCTTTAACATCAAATTTGTCTTTCTCCTCACTGCCAACCATACAATTCTTGTGATGTTAGTTCTGAGAATTTAATATCAGATCAGCTAATTATCGCGAGATTGATATTTTTTTTTCTCATCACTTATCTGGTTGATATTGTATTGATATTGTGAGGAGAAATTCTGTCTTGGTCACTCATAGGAGTTAAAGGGTTAACAGCGATCTTTGTAAGGTCAGCGAGTTATATTTTCAGTTGTCCTTATTTGCAGATCTGGCCCAAAATCATGTGCCACTCGGGGCTTCTTTGCGGGTGGCTTCGGTTTCCACAGGAGGAGGACTTGAAACAAGTCTTTTCGCCGCTTATCTATGGACCTGACTTAAGGCAATCGCTACTTGTGTGTGAGCTGCACAACCCCCTTGGAGCAGTAAATTTTGTCAATGTAGATTGCATTGTCTTCTTTAACATTTTGCGGCTTGGCAAGCGACTTGCTCGCTCGATTCTGTGTACTTGCTAACGAAGTACACAGAATCGAGGCTCACTAAAACGCTTTCCGTGAAAGAAAGTTTGTAGATACGAATGTGGCCTTTTTAATTTAACTGTAGTTCATGCAAAGTTTCGTCACAAAGGCCTTCTTCGCAGCCGCTCTTTTAAGACATCTCTGAAATGATGAAAAACGATGAAAAACCAAGAGAGGAATATTCTACTGCCGTTTACTCTGCAGGTAAGAGTTCAAATGTAACTTTAAGCCAGTCTTAACTTAAAACAAGTTATCGACATTTTGGTAAAGTTTATTCCGTGAAGCTTTCAGTAGTAATTGATTTAACTTAAATCAAGCCCCCTAAGTGTATATTTTCTGTGAAACTCGCTCATTTCTAGAGTAAAATATCGTTCTTGTAGTCGTTATAAAAGAAAGTTGTGACGACCGTCATGTAAGCCAGTGTAAAAGTGATGGGTGACTGCTCTCCTAACAAACTTTGTTTTGAAAAGTGAAAAGCTGTGTGTGTGAAAAGCTGATTTCTCTTGAGGCTGAGAGAAACGGATAGGGACAGCTTCAAAGCTGAGAAGGAATAAGATTAAAGGAGTGAATGAGAAAGCAAAGGATTCCCATTTTTTGCAAGCTAGTATTACGAAGTGTCAACCTTTCAGTTTTGGCGCGAAAATATTCTTGACAGATGATGCCGCTTGCCTGTCACGCAACATTTAAAGTCGCACCCTCTCCCTACAAAAACAAAGGTTACACTAATCGGAATTACAAAAAATTTTGATAGGAGTTCCTCGACTTAGCGTCCTTATCTGCTAGTAAGGCATCCACTCTCTTACTCGTTCATCGCGAAAAACTTGACATATTGCCACAGAGCCACTAATTGAACACCAACACCTCTGTTTTATTTTATAATAAAGTTCGGATATAACGCGTGCTGTCATCGGTTGAAAGAGCGTGCTCTATGAGAGTGTAGAGCATAGAGTTGAGCTAAAGCTGTCACGCCATCTGCCAAATTGTACTACGTCCGACCTTTTCCGGGACTTCTCTCGAGTTTTGTTTTCGTCAAGGGAAGGCCACATCAGTCACTGCAGCCGAGTTTTACGACGCTGTCATCCCGAGCGATCTTCATGTTTCGGTGAATTCGGCTGTCGTTCATTCATAAACACTCGCCTTGAACAATTTGTTTTCTACTTGTCATGTGAAAAAACTTGCGTGTTTTTATGAGCCACAATTCGGCCGACTTTCGTCGAATATTTTACTGTCAGATTCTGTATTATAGACTATAGAACTTCAGGCAAAAGTGTTAAATTCGACCTGCCAAACTATTTATTCTGTTTTCTCGTGTTTATCCCTACTTCTTCCGTGCTCTAGCCACCTCCCGCGTGCTTTACAACAGAACAGAGCACAGTCAAGGCTTCTCTATTTGTTAATCAGTAAATAAACCTGTTCGTGAAAGCCGAACGCAGGTAATACTACACCATATTTTCTGACCAAGCTTTGGGCTGCTAACTAAATAACAAATAACTTCTATAAGTTTCTCTCTAGTGAATCTTTGACATCATACATCAAATGTCATCGAAGCGACTTCACTGTCATTTGTCACTAAGCGCAGCAAAAAGGTACACGTGTTTTTCGGAAATTCGCTACTTTCGGCAGTTTTCTTAGTAGAAAATTTATGAAAAACAATATTATTTGTCAATCAGGCGATAGAAAAGAAAATACCGTTATGAAAACTTAACTGGAGAACATCAGAACTCTTTGCTTTTCCAAGCTAGAAAACTGGGCAAGCACGAGGTGAACGCGTGGGGGGGGGGGGGGGGGGGGGGGCGAGGAACGCAGCTGTGTCATGGTCCTTGCGCGCGCCTCGCATTTCCCAACGCTCGCCCGAAAAACGTGAAAAACTGACAACTGTAGCCTGTAGGCAAGTGGTAACTGCACAAAACGCGTTACGCTAGATTTTACTTTTTTTGGCATTACAAGGACCCTCTCACTCCAAGGATAAAATTATTCAATTCATAGAATGAAGAATAAGCTTTGAGTTAACCCTTCAACTCCCACGAGTGACCAAGACAGAATTTCTCCTCAAAATATCAATACAATATTAAGCAGACAAGCAAAAGAGAGTAAAGAACAATAACAACTAAGGGATTTCTGGTTGATCCAGTACCAAATTCTCTGAACTTTCGTCACAAGAGTTATACAGTAGACAGTAATGAGAATTACTAACGACATCTTGGGAGTTAAAGGGTTAAGACAATAAAGAATCCTATCGAGAAACTACCACCAACATTTATATGATGTTCTCTAGACTGTGAAGAATAACGATTTTGTGCAATTTATATACCTGATAAACTAAGTTAAACTATGAAGCTTGTCAAGCTTTTTTGGCCTTTAACTCTGCCGTTTTTTGAGAAAAAGGTCTATGTGGTCATCAAAAGGTTATAAGGTATTCAGGGTAACACTGATAATCTGAGAAGACAACAAAGATGCTAGGGCTTGATTGGTTATCAACCATAGAATCGTAAAGAATTTCAGGTTTTGATGGATTTTTTGGTGGAGGCACAACCATTGAACGTTTTCCAATACAATACTCCCCAACGAGGACCTTGGCAAGGTACATGTGGCGCCCTCCATAACCACCATTCCCAGCGAATCTAACGGAGTACTGAGCGTCTCTAGCGAAATAAACACCACGTCCATAGTCCGTGCCTGAAAGAAAAATGCTCAATTTAGAGAAAAATATCAACAAAATCACACATTCGGTAAAGTAATTTGTTATGAAAGAGGCAATTATATTTTTCTTGAATTATTATAGCTTTTATTACCACTTTCTAGCTCCAAAGAGTGATTCGGCTAGAGCTCATGCAACATCTGGGTGACTTGGTAGGACAGGTAGACAAATATATCAATAGAATTGTGGCCAAAACACCATTAGTTTAGCCAAAAAATTGTTAATAGTTAGGAGCAATGGCTCGAAAATATTGCTTCAATGCTCCTTTTTCTCACATAAAGCTTTCGAAAGTAATGATCGATCCTAGCAGTATGTGGAAGATGTGCCACATATTAACCACGTGAAAACTCCGCTCATCGTAGAGTCTGTAGCTCAATGGTAGAGCGTGGTAGAGTGTTGGGACGAGGAAATCTAAAGGTCTGAGGTTCAATTCCTCATAAGTACTCGAAATTTTTCCTTAATCCCACCCCCGTGACGAGACGATATAAGGTTTCAGTGACTTACCATTAGCCCCACAGAAGCTTCTGTTGAATCCTTGTGTGTTGATATTGTTGACGTTTTTAGCAACAGTCCCATGAAACAGCTGCCTTTCACTATTTCCTCCAGTATCTTTATCCATTTTCTGTTTTCGTACCATGTAAGACTGATACAGATGAGGATTCTGTACGCGTTCAATCTTCTGAATATTTAACGCTCCGGCTGTGGCTTGAAACTTACTTACGACATCTTGATACTCAGGGGAGCCTGGGAGCAGTAGTACTCTATGTACAGTAGAGTCGTGGCCGGGCATTGGTGTCCAGTGTTTTGGCAGAGCAATTCCTACAGAAAGGACCACAAGGTTAGAATATTGAGGTGAAAACCCTTCGACTGAGATTAAATTTCAACATCCAAGTACATTTTTCAGGTAAGACACAGATAAAAGATCAACAAAAAAACTCAGGAGAGACATTTAAGGGCAACTTTTCTGATAATCCCCTACCTGTATTGCATATTTATTCCCTTAAACGTTCTCTGGGAAATAAAATAGCTTTTAGTCCCTTCTTAAGGCTTATCGAAACATCTTCATCAAAAGAAATGCATAGCAACTAACCTTCATCAGCACCCTTCAGCTTTCTTGTCAGTGATATTTGTTCACCAGACTTTTGTCCGCGCCCAGAGTTTCCCTTCAAGTCGATGAAAAACTTGTCTCCGCGTAGAGAAACTTGCACTGTGTGCTCATCTTTGCTGTGGGCCAACTCAATCTTGGCATTTGCTTTCGGAGCAAACGCTACTTTTGTGCCTTGTATTTCATAGCTCCACTCTACATTCTTTGAAACCAACTTCGCTTGGTCTTCCTCCTGTTTCTTCTTCATCCTTTTGTTGATCTCTTTCCAGATCTCCCCGACTATTCCAGCTACTTCGGTTGGTCCACCGCGAATGACAATGCAATTCATGTCATCCTCAATTTCAAGTTTGACGTCACGGTCTTTAGCTTTTTTTCTCAGCATATCCTTCTGCTTATCGAAAAGCTGACTGATGACATCACTTTCGACTTTTTCCATTGGACAGGCGTCCGAAAAACCTTTCTTCAAGGAGTCCACGGCTCTTTCCACGCTCACCTTCTCTTTGCCAATCACAGAAATTCTTACAGAATGTTCGTCACTTTGGCCTGGTGCCTGCCTACGTCTGCGTCTTCTGGTTTTCCCGGCTGCTGCATTCTCTGAGTCACTGTCTTCTTCAATATCTTGCACTGGTTTTTTCTGCTCTTGTAGATACTCCTGCATCATAGAGGCCTGGAACACAACTACTCTTACTTTCTGAATGTTTTTACAACGGGCACTGAATGCGTTTAGTGCTTTGAACGTCAGCTGGGCTGAGTCCGCTGTGGTCAAGCTGTATCCTCCAGTGCCAACACACGGAATTGAGATCGCTTGAAAGTTATTGGCGTCTGCAACACGAAGACCCTCCTCCAAACATTGCTGGAGATGCTGCTTATCTGAGGAGCCTGGAATGATGTGAATAATATGAGGTACTTGTAAATTACCTCCACTGGTCACTATCGCTGTTCCAGGAGTCTGCTTTCCCAATTGGTTGCATTCTTGTTGCACTAGTGGACCACTCTGTTTTTCTATGGCTTTGCTCAGGTCTCCGGCGTTTTTCATGTTCATGTCCGTGCTCAGAATATTCACGATAGCATCAGTGCTGTTCTCTTGGGTCAAATCACCATTCACCACCTGGACTGTCAAATGTGAGTTGCCAATTTGCTTGGGTTGCAGTTTTTCCATCTCTTGTTGGAAGGCGGCAGTTAATGCTTGATCTTGGTCAAACACGACAAATCGGATGTCCTGTAAATTAGAACCAGGGTTGGCTCGGCAGAAATTGACTGTTTCTTCCAACATGATTCTCGAGGCTGTGTCGCGAGGGAAGTGTAGATTTCCAGTCCCAATGACAGGAAATGCAATGGACTTGGCTCTAAGTGTTTCACCCGCTTGCAGACACTTTTGAACGATGGCCCTTAGCGTCTACAAACGATAAAACAGAAGTTGTCGAATGTTAGTGGCACGGACGGACAATCCGGTGGCAAGAGGGGATCTAGTAAATCCCTTCATTCCTATGTGATCTCAATAGCAATTCTACGTCTTCTGTACATTTCTTATGAATTTGGAGGTCAAATTTGTCGTCAAGTCATGCAATATCTCCTTGGTATTTTTTCCTTCTTCCCGTCACCTTTCTGGTTGACAATGCACTAATAATGAGAGGAGAAAAAACTCACTGGTCACTCCTTAAACTGAAAAGGATGAAAAACTGAATCCCTTTCAAGCTATTTTTAAACTTCCTGGAATCTGTTTTCCGGGGAACAAAGTTATCTCAACCTTGAGTTTTACCAACATTTTCCTCAGGATATTAAGAGGGCGCCATGTAAGATGCTCATACAAGTAGTACTTTCTTTTGGGATCAAGATCGAGGATGTTAGGATTATAACCTCACGGATATCACCTTTGGAATGGACCTAATTAATTTTTTTTTATTGGTGAAAATTTCACTGCTCAATTTGTTTTTTTCTAGTAGGATGATATTTGAAATTGAAAGTCACTTTGTGCAATAGTCCCGTCGTTTAATATTCGATTGATCATTTTTGATGTATTCGGTGAGGAGTGAGGCTTTCTTAATAAACATGACAGAATGTTTAAAGGTACACTACATCGGAAATAACATCAAAACGAGCCTGAATAGTATTCAGTTAATTTTACCTACAAGAGAATGGATAGGCTGGGCATCCGACATCGCTTAGGCTTTCAGCAAATCTAAACAATAAATACTCGTGATGTATTTTAGAGAGGTCCTCTCCCTCAAAAGTGAACTAATACTTAATTATGTACGTACAATTCACTGTTTCTTACCGGCTCCCCTCCACCGTTGTTCCACGTACAACAGTGACTGTGAATCACGTGACTGACCGAGGAAAAACCGCCTGAGATAGTGATGTCACCAACTTTGGGGGTTGCGGCCTGAGGACCACCGGCATTAATGATTGCTTTATCGCATGCTCCTAGACAACTGACAAGTAGGTCAGCCTGAAATACACAACCAAAAGATAATGTTAATGATTTTATTAACTTCTTCAATATGGTGAACTGTTGTCGTAGTCAGACGTGGCTATCTCAATACAGGAGACGTTAAATGATGTAACCACACTCTATGAGCTCATGAAAGCTAAGTTAAGAACTATAACCATGAATACGCAAACAAGATCTTTTAAGGTATTTTCATGAGATATTACCCTGGTTTTAAAAACAATAGTTTCAATCCTACCTTCTCTGCCCCTATATTTCCAGGTTTCCACGACACTCTGTGCCTTTGGGCTATTACCAGGGTAGACGAGTCAGTTCCAGTAGTGGTAGCGTGGTCACCCCCGACATCATCGTCACTGTCGCCTGAAGAAGTAGAAGCGTCGGAAACGGATTCCACGCGCAACTCCTCGTCCCTTCCTCCTCGACCTAAATTTTTCTGGACTTTTATAGCACAATCTTGATCTTTTTCCACCAATTTCACCAGCTGATCTCCTTTTCCACTTTCAAAGTATTTTCGAAGGCCTGGCTGTTTCACTTCAAAGGTTTTCAACTCAGTGGAATCGATCAGAGCGTCGAGCTTCTTTCCTACGCGATCCAAACCCTCTATGTTGCCAGAAATGATAAAATCATCATCGTCATCACCCTTTTTAATGCTCACCACAAAGTCTTTTAGTTGATTTTCTATGGTGTGTAGATCTTCTTGACGTAGCTCGAGAAGATATCTTCGCATGATATCAGACCTGCACCAAAAACGTTCCTCCCTGATGCAATTGTTTTGAAGAAAGGTATTTAACTTCTTTATCACTTCCGTCACGTCATCACGAAACCCAACTACGTGTATATCGTTCCAGTTGTTCCTAAGGACACGGACAGTCGTTTGGTTCATCTCGTCACACAACTTTAGCCATTCCGATGACTTCAAAAAATGCTTGCTTTTCTCGTCCACTTGAATTTTCTCTTCCACCATCAACTTGTTCACGAGCCTGGCCGCGTTGTCTGCATTCGCTGCTGATGATCCCACTATGGTGGTGTCTTTCTCAATAACCAACACTACTTCCACGTTGTTTCTTTCCAACTCACATTTGACAGTCTGAAGCCCTTCATCTGAGACTAAAATCTCCAGGATGCTGTTGGGTAAAGTCAGTTTCTTCTCAACCACATTTGCCATTTGTTTCTCGAACTTCATGGTTGCCTCAATAAGCTGTGGCTGGGGACCTTCGAAATATATTTCTTCATCTTCAGTATTAATTTTGATCTTCAACTCCTTATTCTTTTCTTGGAGTTTCTCGGCAAATTTTATCTTCTTCAGCAAAATTAAGCGCTCCTCGGGAACATTTGGAATTTTCTTCTCTAGGTAAGTTTTTCTGGTCTCCTCGTATATTTCTTCCAACTTTGACTTTACCTTTTCCTCGTTACTTTTCAGAGCTGTTCTTAATGAAACGATCCTAGCAACATTTGAATCAGGAACAGTCTTGACCAGCGGGGGATCAACTCCCAAGCAGGTGCGAATGCTGGGAACTCTTGCTACCACGGCTTCCCAGAAATCCTTGTTGACCTGCACATCGCACTTCGCAAACTTGCCGAGGTAATTTTGTACTTGTTCAATGCACTCAGGTTGCCAGGAATGACTGTCATCTTCCCCACGGTACACTATTACAGCTATTTTGTTGTTGGGTTTCCAGGTGATTTCGCTCCTCTTTCCAGCCAGCGAATCGTCCAGCTCAGCTTGGAATCGTGTGGATGTGACGTATTCCATAACATCGGGATCTACAAGCATGTGCAGCTGTTGTGCTTTGGCAGAGGGTTTCTGGATCACTCGAGATTCACTGGCCGCGGTTGCAATAGCTCCAAAGTCATCGGGATTCTCGGCTCCATCAATGTCTTCGTCTTCTAAAAACTCTCGGTAAGCTCTAATTGACAGCTGGGTTTGTTTAATCTCATAAGGTTTCTCTTCATGTCTGGTTAACACCCTTTCCATGTCTGTTGATTAAAGCAACTAAGTGTCAGGAATTTCCTTGAGGAAGTTATTTGTCGTTTCACAACACTTCATGACTGTTTTACTTGAGAGAGACGCCCAGACTTAGGTCGATGGGGTTGTCGGGGCATATTAGGTCAATCAATTAAACAATCGATCAATCAACGATCACTAATTTGCCCTTCTCTAAGGCTAATGTCCTGCTCAAGTCTTAAATCGTGAAAACTAATATTTGCTACGTATGTATGAGGATCAGATGCCGATTTTTCGTCTCTGAAGGAATTACGCTATACTTATATCTTAGAGTTCAATGAATCACAAACCTTTTGTGTCTTGAAACACAACCACAGCTCGACCACTTTTAGGAACATAGTCAACCTTCTTCACAGGACCCCCATCGTTTCGACGACTCTCAAAGTACAACTCAATGAAATCATGGGTAACGTCTGCAAAGCCAGTGACAAGGATGCTTTTGCAAACCGGGACTTGTTCAATGGAAATCTTTGCATCATCCAGACCTCTCAACTCGCATTTAGTCTTTATTTTCGTGAAATCTAAAGAAAACAGATCACATCCTCAACAAATGGTTGTCTTGTGTGATCTCCACTTTTGAAGTCTTCCAGAAAGGAACAACACACATTGAATTACATGTACAGTTACCAAATAAATTGATTACTTTGATCTGGATTATTTTGATAGTTTGGAGAAGAAAGTCGAAATGTCTTAAAATGGTGAGACACCTAAAATAAGGCATCTTAATTCTTCAGGTGCTAATTAAGCATACAACAATTTTAATCGATGAAAAGTTAATTTCGTATAATTTGAAGATGAAACTGAGCCGGCGTGAGGTTTCATCTCTGATAACTCGAGAACAGATCAACGAAGTACGATAAAGAAATTCCTGCTTACTCTCTAGATTTAATTGAAAGGTACGTACCTTTGATTTCATTGGCCATGGTGACCAAGGCTTTTCCATTCTTCAGCATCTGTACGTCCTTAACCTCTTTCCCACCACTCCTTGCCTCGATAAAGTTCACCAGTCCGTCCGGGCAAGTTTTCTCACTCAGCCCTCGAATGAGTATTTTATTTCTTTCAAATTGAGACTGATCAGTAGGCCCCTTTTCCACCACACTGGACGTGCTGTGTGCTCGTCTAATTCCATCTTGATCAGCTTCTCTGTTACCACCATCTCCTTCTTCTTCTTCTTCTTCTTCTTCTTCTTTTTCTTCTTCTTTTTCTTCTTCTTTTTCTTCTTCTTCCTTTTCTTTTTCTTCTTCTTCTTCGTTATCGTCGTCATCTGTGAATGAAAAAGTGAGGGACCAGTCAGTATTTATCAATGGTGGCCTTGAGATACATGTTGTACCTCTCAAAGTCAACTAACACAAAAAGAGAAATACAGGTTATTTACAAGCACCCCAAATTCAGTGAAGGTGATGATACAGGATTTTCTCCCCCCCCCTCCCCCTCCTTCTCCCCCCTCCCCACTGGAAATTTCTCCCTACTATGTGGGTGTTTTTCGCCAGCACCGTACACGATCTCCCTACAGTAGGGTCCCCCGCTGACTTTCTATCGGAATGCCTCTTTGAACATGTAATAGGTAACAGTCTTGAAGTTAGAGAGACGAAAAGAGGTTGTGAGGAGGAAAATCAACGATTGAAGTAGGGTTTGATAAATTAAGGCGGTATAATTTGGGGCATAATGCTACAGTTAGAGCATCAAACATAATGCCGGTATAACGACTAAAACTATTTACAATTCCCTTGACTTTACAGTTTAACAAGAGATGAATTCTATCGCCTGGGTAAAGTCAACAGTGATCCGGCTTTTCTTGCTTAAACTTTAGGAATTTGATCTAGAAAATTGTTCTGATCTGAACTAAGCCTTTTAATCTCAGGGAAGGTTGAAGGGCTCTTAAAAGCTAAGTTATTGTTACGAATTATGGAATTAAGCATGATGGAAACAATTAAGCTTAATGTCATGTTGCTTTCAAGGGTGACGCTCAAAAGCATAATGCTCAATATTTTTAGCATAATTTATCTGACCCTGGATTAAAGTAAAGAGCACAACCACTCGTGGGCATTTCATTCCGAGATGAATAGATTGAAGGTATCTTGATATGCCGGAATGATGAAAACAGCAACTCCAAGCGTCTACTTCAATATCATTTTTTCCTGATTATTTTACATTTTTCTGTCGCAGGAAATAATTTTTGCTGTTTTCAGCTGATTAAAGCAAGCTCAGACAGAAATATTTATTTCCTGGTGTTGATATCGATTTGTTTGTGTTACAGACTGTCTGAAAATGCTGATTGATAGTGGATGAAAACAATTACACTCGTGTTATAGTACTTCCGGTTTAAGTCGAGCAAATAACATGGGGGATGTCCCTCCGATGAGCAAAGGAAATAAATGTTTTTCGTCGCAGACCCAAAGGATTATGATTTATCAACCAGTAACTTTGAGGATTCTATGATCTCAAGAAACGTAATTCCTTAATTGTGAAGTTTTTCGATGCCTTGTTTCCCATTAGTGTGCTTGAATCAGAAATTTATTAGTGCAAATATGGGCGGCCGTCACCGCCAAAAATACAAGGATGTAAAATAGATCAGCAAATACAAAGCTGGTCTAAGGATCAGCTGCAGGATAGCATAGCTAAGAAATGAATTGCATGGCCAAATTAGAGACGGTTTAGTTTTCCTTCATGAAACAGAACACCCTAAACATGAACAATTTGGCCAAACGATAAACGGTCTTGTTGCCTATATCGAGTTGGAACATGAAATTGTGATATGGAATAGGTCAATTGCGAATAGCTTAGCACCCATTTGCAATACAGTACACAAACGGTGTAGCGTTGCGTCAAATAGCTCAGCTTAATGTCGAATGGTACAGTGCACACACATACGGTGCAGCAATGCGTGAAAAGGCTCAGCGCAATGTCGAATAGCACAGCGCACAAAAAAACGGTGTAGCGTTGTGTGAAATGGCTCACGGTGATGTCGAGTAGCACAGGGTAAGCACAAATGGTGTAACGTTACGTGAAATGGCTCAGGGTAAAGTAGAACGGTACAACGTACATACAAACGGTGTCGCGTTGCGTGAAATGGCTCAGCGTAAGGTCGACTGGTACAGCGTACACAGAAATGGTGTAGCTTTTCGTCCAACATAGCTTTGCAGAACATTAGACGCTCTAGCTGAGCAATAAATTGCTTAGCGTTATATGAAATATTTCGACGTTGTGGCGAATCGTCGAGCTTGCATATGGCGTGATGTCAAGGCTATCTCGCCGAAACTGCCAAAAAACAAACTGCAAATGGAACAGCGATCTGTTGAGGGGCATGACGTTATCGAATGTAAAGATTGGCACGAAACCATCACATTTTGTAGTCGCTGTGTTGAAGAGGCTTCACTTCGGCTTGCCGTAAAGCAGAGCCAACCCGTAACTTTTCGGTAAGTTCTTCCTCTCTTTAACCAGCTGATATTGCATTTATTCGTTGTCGTTCATGAAAGGGTTAATTGAAATAGCATTGAGACTGAATTCTACCACGGTTTACTTTTTAAAGAGAGTTTAACTTCAACGGCTCTTTCAACATTGCGGGAGTACGTGAGAAGTTGGATTTTGTGTGTGCCTTTGTGTGCAGAGTTGGACGCCATGGTAAGAAAACTGATATCCTTGATATGTTGAAACTTCGAAGAACAAACAAGCAAACATCATTCGCTTTGGCCACCAACCTAATAGACAACAAGAAATTAATGATACCGACCAGCGTGGCTTGGTTATCCTGCAGTGTGCCAAAGGATTTTCCGAGAGAGTCACAAAAGTTCTTAGAAGTTTCAACATCAAGGTCGCTCATAAGCCTATCTGCTCCATCTCGAACATACTTAAAAAGCCAAAAGACAAGATCGAGAAAGAGGCTTCCGGAGGAATCGGGTACAAGGTCAAATGTAAAGATTGTGATTATGTTTGCGTTGGTCAGAGATCACGCGCAACATTGGATGAAAACTCTTTGTCGGCAAAACATCATATACTTCACAGTCACCAAATAGATTTGGTGAGTGTTGAAATTGTTGACAGGTCATCGGCGTGGCGACAAAGACTACTTCTTGAAGCTTGGGATTCCATGCGAGATAGAAACAGTATAAACGAACACGTAACGCTACCAAACATACACAATAACATTAAGAATTTTTAGAGCCATTAAAAATACTCCAGAGACTATTGTTTCACTAGCAAAAAAAAATTCCTTCGAGATTTAGTTTTATCACACATCGTGGACATATACCAAGCAGGACGCCGTTATACATTTGCATTTTTATCTTTGCTGAAGAAGGCAAGGCTAGTAGCCGAAACGTCCAGAACAATATATTAATATTTTTTAGCGAGTGTCAACGTTTTTTATTCTTTTTACCAAAATTTTGTATATGCCTGGCTACACACCGAATATTTTTAAGGGAAGACTGTTTATATTTATTACTTTAAAGAGGTTTACATTATCACATAAATTAAGCCAATGTTTAATGTACAAAATAGTCAAGAATCTTGCTCCACGTTATTTAACGGAACTCCTGCCCAAACTATCGAGTGAACGTACGCATTTTCGTCTCAGACCAAGAGATAACTTCTCTCAACTTCGTTGTAGAATTTCTATGTTTCAAAAGTCTTTTTTTCCATCAACAATCACTGGCTGGAATCCTCTGGACCTAGATGTCCGAAATTCTGTATCTCTTTCCAATTTTAAAGCACAAACTCGGTCGATTCTCTTTCCGCATATCTGCAATAGGTTATGTGATTGTTCTTCGTCGAGGCGTGCATCTGTTGATCACACTCGCCTCAGACTTGGGTTTTCTTGTCTAAGAGAATATCTTTTCACAATTAATAGGTGTGTGTCGCCCATTTACGAGTGCAGTTTTGACTCTGAATCGATGAAACACTTTTTCTTGTACTGCCCAAGGTAGGCAAACGCTATTTTTGGAACGGAGAAAAAAACCTTCAAGTGTTTCCGGTCTAGAATTGTAATCGACGTTTGATCATGAAAATAAAAATAGAATTTACCTTTACTATCACTGCACCCAGAAAAATATATTCAATATTGTTGTGCTTAATTTTTTTGCAAATTTCTCAAATCACGCACATTGAGGCAACAAGCAACAATTGCGCCTTTCACGTTATTTATTGAGTTAAAATTATCATAAAAATTCAAGAAATTTGCGAAGTCATGAACACAAGCCTTAGTGCAGTGGTGCGTAAATACAATTTCTACGATATGCGAGCTAAAAATGTCATGAACTCAACCCCCAGTGTTGCTCAAATACAATCTCTATCATATGCGAGCTAAATATGTCTCGATCGGTCGCTTTGACAAAAGATTCTACTAGATTACACTCTAAATCCATTTATCAGTAATCTTATACCTAAAACAAGAAATTATCTGTCGAACAATCACGAGTGCAAACGCTCGTATAAGTACACAAAAATATTATCGGTTTGGTTTCGATTTGCATTCATTGCAAATTGCAATGGAGGATCCTTACCGTAATGTGAGTCTTCGTCAGCCATTATTAGTGCGAGCTTGAAACTTGTCCTTGGTGACTTGCAGAATTAGCGAATGCTGAAATAGAATAAAATGATCTTTGTAACTGCTTACTCAAAGACTACAGTGCAAATGAAAACGGTAGAAAGTAAGAGTATGTCGCAATTTCAATCGCAAATATTTTAAGTTTGCTATGAATCACAGAAGGCAGCTTCATCTCTAAAGCTGTAGAAGATTTGTCTTTTTATCAAGTAGTTAACAATAGCAGTCGTATATCACTTTTGAGGCGCTTAGGGAGAATTATTTGCTCGTATTTTCTAGTACAAAGCCAGACATTGTTCCGCTCGCGAGGACTTGTGTTACCTGATACATCCCTGAAAATTCTGAGAAATTATCGATGCGTTCGATCACGGATTACACCAGGATAATGCACAAGGAATCCAGAAAACTCACCGTCAATCTTTACCGTTTTTCAAGCGAGGATTCCTCTTCCTTTCCCGACAGAACACTGTCATAAAATAACTCGTTCGAATGCACTGCACTTTTACTTTGTATGAAACCGTACTTCCGATTCGGTTTTCTTGAGAAGACCGTGAGGGGAAAAGGAGGCTGGGAGCAAGCCAAATTGGGAATTCCCTTTCCGGGTGTTACGTGTGAATCCAATTATTTCAGCAAAGTTTTTAAGACATGGAGGATGACAAAACAGCGTAATTAAATTTACTTCTCTTATAAACGATGAAAAACCAAGAGAGGAATATTCTATTGTCGTTTACTATGTGGTTAAGATTTCAAATGTAACTTTGTAAACAGTCTTTACTTTAACTGTGTAATAACCATCGCCCTTGCGATGGCCAGAAAAACCATACGGCAAATGACACAAGATTTACTTTGTTATAGGTGTTCTTGCTCGAGTTGGCTTGCTGACAAGCTGGGAGGGTACCAAAAGGGTAACATCTAGAGATTTCGCTTATAATTGCAGAATCGATCACAATAGTATTATTACTACAGAGGTAAATCATTACACGATATCAAACCACAAATACACTTATCTTTGTTTTGAAAATGGTGGATGAATGACCTTATGTTATTCGCCCGTATTTATCTGTGGAAAGCTGACTTTTTTGAGGCTGGCAGATACAGATAGGGATAGCCTCAAGGCCAAGAAGGAATAAGATTGGAGGAGTGAATGAGAAATCTAAAGATTCCTTTCCTTTGCAAGCTAGTATTACAAAGTGTCAACTTTTCAGTTTTGACGCGAAAATATTCGTGACATGTGATGCCGCTTACTTGTCACGCAACATTTATAGTCGCACACTCTCTCTTCAAAAACAAGGGTTACACTACTCGGAAGACTTATTCGACCGACTGTTCTTATCTGCTGGTAGGGCTTCCTCTCCCTCACTCGTTCATCGCGAAAAACTTAAGATATTGCCACCGAGCCACAAGTTGAAGACGGAAAAAACCAACACGTTAATTTTTGTTCCTCTATTTTATTTCAGTAAATAAATCTGTCCGTGAAACCCGAACGCAGGTAATACTATGCCACAATTCTTCCAAGCTATTGGCTGCCAACTAAGTAATAAATGCTTCTCTAATTTTCTTTCCGGTGAATCTTTTACACCATAAATCAAATGTCATCGTAGCCACTTCACTATCAATTCTCATTAAGCACAGCAAAAAGGTACACATGTTTTTCGAAATTTTTATTTTCGCCAGTTTCGTGGGTAGAAAATTGATGCAAAAAAAAAATTATTTGTCAATCTGGCGATAAAAAAGAAAATACCGTTGTAAAAACTTAACTTGAGAACAGCAGAACTCTTTGCTTTTCCAAGCGAGAAAACGGGACAAGCGCGAGGTGAACGCGTGGGGCGAGGAACGCGACTATGTCGTGGTCACCGCGCACGCCTCGCGTTTCCCTACGCTGTAGGCTAGTAGTAACTCCACTGTAGTGATAAAACGCGTTCAGCTAGATTTTACTTTGTTTGGCATTCAAGGATATAATCATTCAATTTATAGGATGAAGAATAAGCTTTGAGTTAAGACAGTTAAGAATTCTATCGAGAAACTATTACCAACATTTATATGATGTTCCCTTGTCTGTGAAGGATAACTATTCTCTGCAATTTATATAACTGATAAACTAAGTTAAACTATGAAGCTTTTCAAGCTTTTTTGGCCTTTAACTCCGCCATTTTCTGAGTAAAAGGTCCATGTGGTCATGAAAAGGTTATGAGGTATTCAGGGTAACACTGATTATCAAAGAAAACAACAAAGATGCTGGGGCTTGATCGGTCATTTACCACAGAATCGTAAAGAATTTCAGGTTTTGATGGATTTTTTGGTGGAGGCACAACCATTGAACGATTCCCAACACAATACTGCCCAACGAGGACCTTGGCAAGGTACATGTGACGACTTCCATAACCAACACCCCCAGCGTAATTAACAGAGTATTGAGCGTCTCTAGCGAAATAAACACCACGTCCATAGACCGTGCCTGAAAAAAATGTTAAATTGAGATAAAAAATATCAACAAAATCATGATACATTTAAAGAGGTTATTTTTTATAAAAGAGGCAATTGTATTATTCTTCTATTATTGCAGCTTTCATTACCAATTTTTGGCTCCAAAGTGTGATTCGGCTAGAGTTCATGCAACGTCTGGGTGACTTGATGGGACATGTAGATGCCTTAACTGGTCAAGATTAATCGCTTGAAAGTATTGCTTCAATTCTCCTTATTCTCACACGAAGCTATCGAAATTAATTATCCTTGCAGTATGTGAAAAGCCTGTTAATCATAGAGTCTGTAGGTCAATGGTAGAGCATTGGAACGAGGAAATCTGAAGGTTTGAAGTTCGATTCCTCTTAAGTACTGGAAAGTTTTTCTTTAATCCCTCCCGTGACGAGACGATAAAAATTCTCCTCTATTTAAAATTTCAATGACTTACCATGAGCCCCACAGAAGCTTCTGTTGAATCCTTGTGTGTTGATATGGTTGATGTTTTTAGCATCAGTTCCATGAAACAGCTGTCTTTCACTATTTTCTCCCGTATCTTTATCCATTTTCTGTTTTCGTACCATGTAAGACTGATACAGATGAGGATTCTGTGCGCGTTCAATCTTCTGAATATTTAACGCACCGGCTGTGGCTTGGAACTTGCGCACGACATCTTGATACGCAGGGGAGCCTGGGAGCAGTTGTACTTTATGTGCAGTAGAGTCATGGCCGGGCATTGGTGCCCAGTGCTTTGGTAAAGCAATTCCTACAAAAAGGACCGAAAGATTAGAATGTTGAAGTGAAAACCCAACGACTGATGTTAAATTTCAAGATCCAGGTATAATTTTCAGGTAAGAAACATACAAGATCAACAAGAAATTTTATTAGGGACATTTTTGGACGGCTTTTCTGAATATCCCCTGCGTTTATTACATGTTTATTACCTTAAACGTCCTCTAGGAAATGAAATATCTTAGTCCTTTCTTATCTAAACATTCTTGTCAACAGAGATGTATAGCAACTAACCTTCTTCAGCACCCTTCACCTTTCTTATCAGTGTTATTTGTTCACCAGACGTTTGTCCAAGTCCAGAGTTTCTCTTCAAGTCGATGACAAACTTGTCTCCGCGTAAAGAAACTTGCACTGTGTGATCGTCTTTGCTGTGGGCCAGCTCAATCTTGGCATTTTCTTTCGAAGCAAATACCACTTTTGTGCCCCGTATTTCATAGCTCCACTCTACGTTCTTTGAAAGCAACTTCGCTTGTTCTTCCTCCTGCTTCTTTTTCGTCCCCTCGTTGATCTCTTTCCAGATCTCCCCGACCATTCCAGATACTTCGGTTGGTCCACCACGAACAACAATGCGATCCACGTCATCCTCAATTTCAAGTTTGACGTCACGGTCTTTAGCTTTTTTCCTCAGGATATCCTTCTGCTTATCGGAAAGCTGACTGACGATTTCACTTTCGACTTTTTCCATTGTACAAGCGTCAGAAAAACCTTTCTTCAAGGATTCCACGGCTTTTCCCACGCTCACCTTGTCTTTGCCGATCACAGAAATTCTTACAGAATGCTCGTCACTTTGGCCTAGTTCCTGCCTACGTCCGCGACTTCTGGTTTCTCTGGCTGCTGCATTCTCTGAGTCAGTATCTCCTTCGTTACCTTGGACTGGTTGTTTCTTCTGCTCTTGTAGAAACTCCTGCATCATAGAGGCCTGGAACACAACCACTCTTACTTTCTTAATATTTTTACATAAGGTACTGAATGCGTTTAGTGCTTTGAACGTCAGCTGGGCTGAATCCGCTCCATTCAAGCCGTATCCTCCTGTGCCAATGCACGGAATTGAGATTGCTTGAAAGTAATTGGCGTCGGCAACACGAAGACCCTTCTCTAAACATTTCTGGAGATGCTGCTTATCTGAGGAGCCTGGAATTATGTGAATAATATGAGGTACTTGTAGATTACCTCCGCTGGTCATTATCGCTGTTCCAGGAGGCTGCTTTCCCAATTGGTTGCATTCTTGTTGCACTAGTGGACCACTCTGTCTTGCTATGGCTTTGCTTAGGTCTCCGGCGTTATCCATCTTCATGTCCGTGCTAATGATATTCATAATAGCGTCAGTGCTGTTCTCCCGAGTCAAATCACCATTAACCACCTCAACATTAAGAGGGCTAGTGAAGGTAAAAGTC